GTTTTACCCAGTAGGTAGGGTTGGATGATTGGCTTGTCAAGGTTTCCTGGTTAGGGAAGCTTGTGTCGGTCTTCTGGTGCATGGAACTAGATTTCCTCTCTCTGGAGTGCAATGGAGTGCCCAGTAATGAGTTTTGAGATGGGTCTATGTGTTAGGTGTGACTTTGGGCAGCCTCTATGTTGACGTTCAGGGCTATGTTCCTGTGTTGCTGGAGAATTTGCATGATATGTCTTGCTCTGGAACTTACTGGCTCTTGGGTGGTGGTTGGTTTCAGTGTAGGTATGGAGGCTTTTGGACGGTCTCTTATTTCGTAATGTTCCTTTTAGTCAGGAGTTTTCTGGTGTTCTCAGGTTTTGGGCTTAAGTCTCCTGACTCTGGATTTCAGTTTTATTCTTCCAGTAGTCTCAAGACTTCTCCAACTATACAGCACTGATAATAAAACTTTTAGGTTAATGTTGAAATGATTCTCCCCCATGAGGGACACCCAGAGAGGTTCACAGAGTTACATGAAGAAGAGGAGAGGGAGGAGGGAGATAGAGGTGAGCAGGAGGAGAAAAAGGGGGACTCAAGAGGAGAGAGACAGATCTACGCAGTTCTCTGTTCCCAAAGTGTTTTCTGTAGCCCAGATACCCACAGAGATTCACAGAATTGGATTGGGAAGAGAAGGGGAAAGGAGGAAATAGAAATAGAGGTTTTCGGAGGTGGAAAATGGAAAGTCAAGATTGGGAGAGAGTAATCAACACACTCCTGAATAAAAATGGGAACTGAATATTGGATTCTTAAATGTCCACAATTTATATCATATACTGAAAAACAAAGATTAAAAATCTAGAGTAGAGGTTAGACTCTTAAAAATACAATATTAAAAACAACCAAAACACAAAAAATTTTAGAAATATATATGAAGTTTGGTTTAAGAATAGGGCTTCTCTCTCTCTCTCTTTTTTTTTTTTGCAAGGCTATAGTGTAATGAAAATGAAAATTAAGGAGTAGTAGAGGAGTAATAGAGGACTTTAAAAGGAAATAAGATAAAAAGGAAAATAGAAAAACAAGAGAAAAAGAAAAAAAAATAAAGAAAAATTTTTCCTAGTTAAAAAAATCGTAAAAATCTATGAAAATGAACGTTAAGGAGTAATGGGGGAGTAATAGGGAATTTTAAAAGAAAATAAAAGAGAAAAAATAAAAAAAATTTTTTTTTTTTTTCAAAAACAAAAAAGTGAAAATATATCTAGGAATTTCTCTGGAGCTGTTGCGGTCACTGTGGGTTCGGTTCAGTTCCAGATAGCTCCTCGTTCCAGCGTACAGTTCTCAGTATCTACAGGCCCCTTCCTGTGTAGTTGGTGTTAACTACAGGGATTTTAATCTGTTGCACCGGTGCCTTCTGAAGCAGTTCCCTTTGTTTATTTGCCTTCTGTTTGCCGGTCTCTTCAGTGCCTAATTTCCACCCTGACACAGATGGGCGGAGGTGGTCTCTTATTCAGGTTGCTAGTTCCATCGCGCTGCGGGGAGGGGCTGGCACTGCTTTCCCCGTCTACGCTGCTCAGGCTCCCGGCTGTTATATATGGAGTGTGCCCTGCGCTGAGCGCGGTTCCAGCCCTCGTGTGTTCCACAAAAGCGCAGACTCAGGCTTCCCCTCCCGAGCGGCTCAGGCAGCCAGGAGCTTGACGGGCGCACTCTCCCCGGGTGCGGCGCGCCTTCTGCCCTCCGCGACCCCAGCCCCAGTCCCCGCCTGCGCCAGTCGGGTGCCTGCGTCCTGTGTCTAGCCACGACCCTCTCGGCAGATGTCGACCATCCACAATCTCAGGAGGTCTTTGGTTAGAAACTGGAGGCCTATTTGCAGTGCGGTAGGGGTGCCGCCTCTGGGGCCTAGCCTGCCCCTTTCCCCTCCCCCCTGCCTCCTTCCTCTGGCGGGGCTGGGCCAGTCCGCAGCCTGCGAGCTCTTCTCTGGACTTGCTCAGACCCTTTGTTCTGCGAACGGCCGACAGTGTGTTCGGGCCGGTTACTTTTCTCTCTCTCGCTATCCCACAGTTTAAGTTGGTAACTCACAAAAGCTCCCTCTGATTGTCCTCAGGGCACTCAGGCCCGGTCCTTACCCTAAGCAATGCTGCCCGCTCATCTCTGTTCTGCCTCCACTTGCTGGTAGCAGATGCGGGCGTCTGGGGTACTTTTCTGCTGGGAGTTGCTTTTAGGCATGTAATCTGTGGGTTTTATTTATTCTTCCCCTCCCAGTTAGGTTGCCCTCTGAGATTTAAAAACTTCCCCCAGACCCGCCAGTGTGAGGGTTTCCTGGTGTTTGGAAACTTCCTCTATTAAGACTCCCTTCCCGGGATGGATCTCCATCCATAGCTCTTTTGTCTCTCTTTTTATCTTTTGTATTTTGCCCTACCTCCTTTTGAAGACAATGGGCTGCTTTTCTGGGCGCCTGATGACCTCGGCTAGCAATCAGAAGTTGTTTTGTGAAGTTTGCTCTGCGTTCAATTGTTCTTTCGACGAATTTGTAGGGGAGAAAGTGGTCTCCCCATCCTATTCCTCCGCCATCTTGGCTCCTACTTTTAGTTTCTTAAATGATAAATGAAGGGGATACACTATCACCATGTAGTCTCAATACGTTTTCATTTATTTATTGATGCAAAGAATTCAACAGCAATATCAATTAGGTAATCCTTTCTTTAAATGCAAAATCTGGATCTTTCTAACAACATAAATAAGATTTCTTGATTTTTATATTTATGTAGAATTGACTTATTGGTTTCATATCAAATAATATATTTTGCCAAATATTGTTTAACAGAAAGAAACAAAAAGAAAAAAATGGTGACAAAATAGTGCTTAAGAAATAGAGATTATTTGCTAAAATGTTTCTTGATTGCCTTTGAGTTTAATCACATGGGGTGAGTGTTTAGTGGGTAGGAATTTAAACCCCTCCAAATGTGAAGGGCAATAATTGGAATTGGTACATTTGCAGTTGAGGGATGGATCTTGATTAACCCTAGACAGAGTAGCACATGGTTTTTACCTGGTCAACAGTGTTGCTGTTAATCTTTACTCTATACAGAAAAACTAAAGAAGTGATTATAAAATACTGTGGCTGTCTGTAGTCCAAATAAGTAAGAGGTTAGACAACAGCCATATGGTTTAAAACTATTTAGGTTTGTTTTTATACTCAAAGTCAATTATGCCACATCGTCCAAAGGGAGAAGTGCACACTGGGGAATATTTTGCTAAGAGAATATTACTAGCTAAGAGTCTTAAAACACTTGACCTTTATTTGCCATCTACAGTCTGTTCCCATTACTTGTTCTAGTATCACCATCTTGCTCCTGTGTTATTGCTTCAAAACATTTGTTTTAGCAGCAGAATTCTTTCAATATAGCTTTAAGTGGTGCCATTTTCTATCTGAACTTAAGAAATGCTTTTCTCAAAGGATAAAAATTGTGGAACCCAATAGTTTTGTCTGTGAAGTATTAGATTCACCAACTTTCATGAAATAGTTCTTGAGCAGCTGAGGAAAAGTGAAATCAGTTTTGCCAATGAAATCTTGCTGTCTAGTGGATTTTAATGGAATGATTTGGTGTGTCCCTTAGAAGCCTTTACCCAAGATGTCTGCTCCGTGTTTAGCAGAACCCTGTCTAGGAGATGAAGTCTGGCATTATAAAGTGGGAATGTTCTTTCAGGACAGGATACTTCAAGGCTCTCAGATGCCACTAAACTGTGCATCTCCCACTGGGTTCCCACATAAAACCTACTTGTGTTCACCCACTTTAAAATTATAAACAGTTTATATAATGGTTATAAAGTAATAAAGAGAATACCACCTTTTGAAAATATATAGATACTATAACTTCAGAACTACTGGATTTAAACCTCCTACTGAAGTGTCTTAGCTGTTAAGATTTGCACTATTTCTTTTTTTAAAAATTAAAATTAAAAAAAATATTTGAGTGTAGTTGCTTTACAACTCGTGTTGGTTTTTACAGTACAGCAAGATGAATAAGTCATACATACATGTATATCCCCTCCTTTCTGGACTTCCTTCCTATTCAGGTCACCACAGTATATTAAGTAGAGCAATAAAGTATGTACTCATTAGTATACCATTTCTTGATTTTACTATATAACATACCTTTCTTTCAGAAATAGACTTACTTTTAATTATGCAGTTCCTTTCTGGGGGTGGGAGTGTCCAATAATTGTATATGGCTTTTTCCCCTTGGCCATAGTTTCTAGCCCCAAAGGTAGACTTTAGATATAATCTTATTTACCCACCAAAGAGAGGCCAATTCTGATTATGCCAAGTTTCATAGCCTGAGGAATTGTCTCAGTATCTGTTACCTGTCAATGGAGTATGTCCCATATGAAAAGTCACTCTCAGCAGGTTTGTTTTCTACTGATTACACACATATCTAAAATGTAGAAAGAGAGGAAAACAAAGCCAGTGTTTTCATAAGCAGGGAATAGAGTTGAAGAATCTTGGTGGTGGTCAAGTTTGTAGCTCAAGTTAGACCTGAAGCCTTGGGTCATTCTGGCCTATAGTTCAGCTTGGTAGTTTGATACCCTAGTATCCTTCCGGTCATGGTGGTGGTGGTGGTGTAGTTTCTAAGACAAGTCCAACTCTTGGAAACCTATGGACTGCAGCCCAGCAGGCTCTGTCCATGGGATTCTCCAGGCAAGAATATTGGAATGGGTTGCCATTTCCTTCTTCAGGTAATCTTTGACAGGTTTTCAATTTTGCTTTTTCAAGTCTGTATTGGCCACATGACAGGGACAACAGGTCCTGAGCTAAGTTGGGTGCTAAGAGAACGTTGTCCAACATGGCTTAGGGTACAATGACAAACTGTATCCTTCCTAGCATCCTCCTAGCAGACTACACTATTTGGATGCTGTAAGACCATGCTTTGTGGACCAACATGTTTATTAAGAGTTATTATTTTATTAAAATAAAATAACATTTCAGGAAAATAAAACATAGAAAAACAGAAAAAGCTACCCTTATAATCAATATGAAGGTTATCAGATACATCGTTTTAAGATTACTCCTTAGAAAAAGACAGGACAGCAAAGTCAGTAAGATGAATGAATGTATTTGTCTAGAACATACTGAGTGTAACCAAGCAAAGATTTCTGTATAGGAAAAAATGGACAGACTGTGGCTAATATTTTTTGAGGTGGTGTGAGTTAATATTTATTCCTGAGTAAACATTTTGTATAGTCACTATCTTAATAAACTATTTTTTCTTTCTAATTACTGTGTTATGGCCTATATCTTTTTATCCTTCTAGAAAAAGATTGAAAGCCAAATCTGGCCTGTTTCTGTACATGTTTTATGGAGCAAAACCATACTCACTCATTTAGTATTGTCCATGGCTATTTTCACACTCTAAAGGCAGAAGTGAGTGGTTGTGACAGAACATATGCCCTTGCAAAGCCCGAAATACCTGTCTGCGTACAGAGAAATATCAAATACTGTCTGTGTATAGAAAAATTTTTGTTGACCTCTGTCTTAAAAATTATTTTCCTGTCATGAGAATTGATTTTAATTGCCATATTTTTGTAATACATTTTAGGAATAAAGCCACTGTATAAATTTAAAAATAGATGCATACATTTTATCTCCTTTTGTCCAGTACATTTTATGAGCTAAACTTGTTTGATTCAATTCTTGTGATAACTCTCCTCAATGAATCTTCCATTTGGGGGAAAAAAAATGTTAGAATTTGAATCACATTTCTGAATGTTTCCTAAATTTCTAGTCCCTTTAGAAAGAGTCCTTTTTATATACAACTCTTCTGGTTATTTTTAGCTCTTCAGGAGCAACAAAGGTTTTCCTAAATTCCATCCTCTCGCCTATGCAGATTTCCACTTATATTTTGATCTATGCTAAGATTAAGCTTTTTCGTAAGCTTGAAGTACAGCAGAGTTGAGAACATAATTCCATGATACTGAAGGTTCATGCATTGTATCAGCTCTAGGTGACATATTCTTTAAAAACTAGATAGGAAACTGACATAGAAATTAAAATTTCACCTCTGGCTTTTACCAGAGTACTATTAGGTAAGGTTATTTAATTTTTACAATGGTTCACAAGGCTCTACATGTTGAGAAACATTCATATGTGTGCAATAGTGAGAGTCCATACTGTGCCTTTCTGCGCTCATCCATGATTGTCTTCCTTCTTGCTCTTCCCCACAAGAGAGGTTGGATCTTTAGCTCTTGGTCTTTGCCCATGAGGCTCTTTCTCTCTGGGATGCATTCTCCTAGATGCTTGGATGGTCTGTTGGCTTGTATCTTTGATGTCTTCTCTTGATACTACACTGAAAATTGTGCAACTCATTACAATACACACATCTCCTATTCATTGTTCCTATTTCTTTAGCACTTATCATGGATATTAAATATGTTTTACTGCTCTATTTTGTCTACTTGAAATTAGCCCTTTTGAGTTTCAGAAATTTGATTATTTGGTTTCCTGTGTTCCTAGTACTCATAGTGAAAGTTTCCTTTAAAATATAGATTGAAAAAATTAATAAATTACATAAAACATTTGGAAGTGAATGGATTTGGCAAAAATGCAGATGGTATATATTAAATATGTGCAAATTATAAAGAGCTGGTTCTATTGCAATTTATTGCAAACATTTAAATTTACTTTTTCTGAGATTAGAAAACATTCTTGTACTTCTAGAATAGCTCACCAAAATAAAAATAGCCAACAACCCTATTCTTCAGTTTTAGTGTCAAAAAATACTAACTCTAACCATTTATATTCTTAGAGCACTGAAAATTTAGCCAATGAGGTTTTAAAATTCACAATATTCACAGTAAGGAAATATAGAAGTCATTTTGTACTTTTATTCTCCCTTCCTCCATTGCTCTTTCCCAGCTTTTTAACTTGCATTAGGGGGCTGGATCTCTTATATTTCAAAGAGCTTAGGAATGGAGACTTCAGATTTCAAGGAAGGCTTTTTGTTTTTATTCATACAATATTAATCATGTACATTAGATTTTTCAATAAAAAGTATGCCAAATAAGCAAATACTACATAATTAAAAAATAAATCAATTGCATATGATCTTATGGAAGAACAGACTTAAAAAGGTCATAATTTGGCACAAAGAAAACTGAATTCAAAAATCTCATTATATTTTGAGACTAGACTTTAAAACACACCATTTGGTGAACTTAACACTTCAGTATCATGTTCAGCTTCACTATTTACTATGTGAAATGAAACCATGACAACAATATTTGAAGGAACTTTGCTGATTTTTTTTTCTATTAATCAATGTAGGTGTGTACATGCATCTTAAAGCTCTTGAAAGAACATGTGAAGCATATTCTAAATAAAACAATTTATTTAAACTGTAGAGGAAAGCCTTTCCTGCCATTAGAGCAGTGCACTAAATAGTTGCTTCTCAAATGGTCATTCTTATGTCATGCTTTGGTCCTGTTAGCTTGTTTCTCTGAGATCTGATAGAGCATAAAGATGTTTAATTTTGCAAAGCACTTAAGGTATATCTAGTCATAACACCTTAGGTACTAAGAAATGTCTGCCTTTTCCTGCCTTATTGATTAAGTAGTATATGTTTTCAGAAAACAGAATAATAAAATAAGTTAGTTCTTACCATGGCAGTTAAGTCAATTTAGATCTAAGTTTCCAAGTTTTTTGTTGTCATATGTTAAACTCTAATTACTTCTTTTGACGAAAAGCTTATTTATATTACTATAATGTATTAATTTTGTCAAATGTTTGGTCAAATTTAGTAAAAATTTTATGAGTTATAATCTTTTAAAAAGTTATACCAATACCATATATCAAATGATAACATTTAAAAGATTTATCATAAATCATGTAGCTTAGTTTTTAATTTTGTTGACAGTAATATTTGTTTAATCTTGTTAATAGTCTTTTTTTTTTTTTTTTTGGAGGATGGAGGACTTTTAAGTTCCTCCTAACCAAAAACTCATCTATTATCTGGGGGGAAAAAAACTGATATCCTGAATATTATAATGTCCACCTGAAAAACTCCTTTAATATTAATATTTTCAGTTAAACATAAGCAAATGATTATAACATGAATTATGCATTTTAATAAGAACAAATTCACTTTCATTCATTCTTTCATTCACTAAAAATACATTGCATTAGTGTGAGTGAAAATTGCTCAGTTGTGTCCGACTCTTTGCAACCCCGTGGACTACACAGTCCAAGGAATTCTCAGGCAAGAATAATGGAGTGAATAGCCATTATCTTCTCCAGGGAATCTTCCCCACCCAGGGATTGAACCTAGGTCTCCCACATTGTAGGCAGGTTCTTTACCATCTGAGCCACAAGGGAAGCCCAAAAACACATTCAGTTCAGTTCAGTTCAGTCGCTCAGTCGTGTCCGACTCTGTGACCCCATGAATCACAGCACGCCAGGCCTCCCTGTCCATCACCAACTCCCGAAGTTTACTCAAACTCATGTCCATTGAGTTGGTGATGCCATCCAGCCATCTCATCCTTTGTTGTCCACTTCTCCTCCTGCCCCCTATCCCCCCCCAGCATCAGGGTCTTTTCCAATGAATCAACTCTTTGCATGAGGTGGCTAAAGTATTGGAGTTTCAGCTACAGCAACATCCTTGCAATGAGCACCCAGGACTGATCGCCTTTAGAATGGACTGGTTGGATCTCCTTGCAGTCCAAGGGACTCTCAGTCTTCTCCAACACCACAGTTCAAAAGCGTCAAATCTTTGGTGCTCAGCTTTCTTCACAGTCCAACTCTCACATCCATACATGACCACTGGAAAAACCATAGCCTTGACCAGACAAACCTTTGTTGGCGAAGTAATGTCTCTGCTTTTTAATATGCTATCTAGGTTGGTCATAACTTCCCTTCCAAGGAGAAAGCATCTTTTAATTTCATGGCTGCAATCACCATCTGCAGTGATTTTGGAGACCAAAAAATAAAGTCTGGCACTCTTTCCACTATTCCCTCATCTATTTCCCATGAAGTGATGGTACCAGATGCTATGATCTTAAGTTTTCTGAATGTTGAGCTTTAAGCCAACTTTTTCACTCTCCTCTTTCACTTTCATCAAGAGGCTTTTTAGTTCCTCTTCACTTTCTGCCATAAGGGTGGTGTCATCTGCATATCTGAGGTTATTGATATTTCTCCCAGAAATCTTGATTCCAGTTTGCGCTTCTTCCAGCCCAGCGTTTCTCATGATGTACTCTACATATAAGTTAAATAAGCAGGGTGACAGTATACAGCCTTGACGTGCTCCTTTTCTTATTTGGAACGAGTTCGTTGTTCCATGTCCAGTTCTAACTGTTGCTTCCTGACCTGCATATAGGTTTCTAAGTACTTACTAAATACAAGTGTAATTTAGAAATATTTGCATGACATTTCAAGAAATTTAAAAAAAAAATAAAAATTTATTTAGACATTCAATTTTTTTCAAAATGTTCTCAAGAGGACTTGATAAAAGTATAATTTCAGTTAAATCAATTGAAATAATTAAAGCCAGAAGCTTTAAAATATTAGGTTTATAATTTTTCATAAAATACAAAGTAGATATATTTAGTCCGAACTTTTCCATGAAATCCAGCTTTACATATCACAGTATCTGTAAATTTAAAGAATGGAAAGTTATTAGGAGTTTATAAAATACATATATTTAAAATGTAAGTGTTGTGTCTTGTGTCTCCCACAAAAGATATATAAAAATCCTAATGTTCAATACCTGTGATGTGACCCTACTTGGAGACAACACCTTTGCAGATGTAATCAAGTTGAAATGAGGTAGTACTAGATGAGGGTGGACCCAAGTCTAATGACTGGTGGAGAATCCATGTGAAGACACAGAAATATGATGTCTCATCACATGAAACCTATGGGAGAAGGTCATGTGATGATGGAACACTTGGGGTAATGGTTCTTCAAGCCAAGTAAAGTCAGAGATTTCTGGCCACCAGAAGCTAGGAGAGAGGCATGGGGCATATTTTCCCTCAGCTCCCCCAGAAAAACAATCTTGCCAACACCTTGATTTTTAGATTTCTTGCCTTCACAAGTATGGGAAAAAAATTCTGTTTAAGGCACCCAATTTGTGGTAATTTGTTATG